AATTTGCTTTATTGTGTTCGTGACGTCGGACAATGTTATCCAAATAAAATATTATATTTATTAGGCGAGCATTTTGTATTCAATCGTTGTAAACAAAACACGCGATGTAAAGCAAGACGTGTTGTTAATACAGTATATGAGATTTTCATTGCTCAGAGAATGACACAACGCACCGGTTGGTGAATTAGTATTAATTTAGTGACACAGCGACGACCCAGAAAGCTTTGCGCATACTTCCACGCCGGCCTTTTATCAGGCGATTTAACACGAGGGCAACCTGGTCCAACGCTTTGGATTGCCAGGATTCTTACAAACCTTAAAGGTCAGTTCTGTTGAAAAGTCTGTTTGGCCGAACTTTGAGCACCCTCTAGACGGAAGGTGCTTAAAGGGATACTGAACCGAAATTTGAATTTCGCAAAATAAGGCTCTAGAAGCGTTGAACGGGACTCTACGAACTCCGAAACATTGCTCGTACATCGATATCTCAAACGGATGGCCGCACTTTTCGAAAAGAAGGGCGCGATTAAGCGAGGCCTCTGACATCACTGTCCTCCGGGAGAATTTGAGAATGAGGGGGAGCGGCCTCGCTCCTCTCCTCCTCGCTTCAGTTCACCAGCTCGACACGGGACGTAGTGAGTAGGAGAGGGAATAAGAATCGTGACCTGCCTTGCCTTGTCGGCCTCGTCGGCCGGGTTCAGTCGGGCGCTTCTTTTCTAAAAATATGGCGATCCGTTTGAGATACCGCTTTATGAGTGATGTTTTTGAGTTTTGCATCGTCCCGCCTATTTGTCAAGCCTTGTTTTGTGAGTTCGAAATTTCGGTTCAGTATCCCTTTAAACATTTTGCTCCATCCTACTTAAATTATTTATGATGTATATAAACAAGTGAGTGCTTCTTGTTTTTACAGTGGAGATTTCAATGTTTTCGCTTATATTTATTGAGAGTAGACTTTCCTATAAAATAAATGCTCTTAAAATCGCATCAGTACCGCTGCATGGACTGCGAAATTAACTTAATAAAATCAGCGCTGGAAAAAATTGTTTTGTCGCAATGTTTGTTGTATTATTTCCATTTTTGCAGCGTTACGTTGTTCAGAAACTACGGACTGATTGCTACTTCGAAGGGAACCAGGAAGGTGGAATTGGGAGGGGGAGGTTAGTGTTGACATATAAAAGAGAAGATATTAAATTTGACCACAAACTCAGATTTTGTCTCGCCCAATCAGAGAAAGAGAGCAGAGCACAGTAAAAATGTAGAGTACTGGCAACGCATTAGCATAAAGAGGGAACACTATGTGGCCGTTCCCGACTTTGAGGCTTTCATTCGTCCATCGTCACGGTACGTGCAATAATTTTCCAGTTATGCAATTCAGAGCACGCGTGAGGCTTCCCCTCTAGCCCAACCTTGATGAGGGGAAGCTACTTTTTCTAAGCGTCTCGCGCTATGGTGTGTGTAATACACAACCCACAACGCAGGGAAATTTCGAGGCCCTCGCTTCTTTACTGAGGTACTTAGTTGGCCGGTGACTTGTGCCTGAAACACGTTAAAGAGCAGTTCGTGTTGGGTGGAGGGGGGGGGGGGGGGGGCGCTGTAACAATTCTGAATAAGAAAATTATATTTATGAGGAAGAGCCGGCCGAAGGAGGTGAGTCATTTTTTTTCCATTTTTTCCTGCTTTTCCATCGCATGGAGGGTATTCACATATTTCGTTCTGCCTCTGTTTGAATACTCGATGTATTTTCCATTAAAACAGAATGCGCGTTTTTTTCTTTTTGTTTTGTTCTCCTTTGTTAATTTTTTTTAAATATAATTTAGGCTTATGGGACTTTTGGTGCCCTTGCTGCAGCATAATTGATGTGGCACACCCGTCCACCTAGAACTGCATAGTGATAACGTCGCACACTCACAAAAGGCTCTCAAGTTTCAGAAACCTCGTCACTAAGGGGAATACGTGTGCACAAAAATCAGGCATGATAAAAAATCAAATAAATTTAACGTCCATGTATTCACTGCTGAGCTAAGAGTGCCAGGGAGGAGTTTCAGTCATCCTGCCTTCAGCTCGAGCTTCCCGCCTTCGACGACGTTTTGGCACTCTTTGCACCTCAGGCACGCGCGCCTGGCTAACGCACACTGGAAGACATGCAGCTTTTGTTGGAGGCTGCTCGATATATGAAAGACAGGCCCAGACCTTCTTATTCCATCGCTGACTCTACACGTATTGATTTCGATTTTTGCTACCAGCGCTCTCTTTCGCGAGATCCGGATTCGCAGATCTTACACTGAGAATCATGTAACGGATTACACTCGCACAATCGGGCGAAGAACCGTGTCGTTTCCTCTGAATGTCATTTTGTTACGAAGGCCAATAAAGCGCAAAACATAGTTATCATGAATGAGACAAACATCGCCAGATACACGCGCTAGTTGTGTGCGCTTGGGTTTGGCGGTCCTTCGTTAAATACAAAATTAAAAAGATTAGGGCTTAGGTCATGGTAGAAGAAAAAAGGGCGAGAAAGAGATGCCCGAAGAAAATCAGTCAACGCGGACAATGGTTTTTTAGGGCATCGCGATTTTCCCGGTGGGGGGCACTGTCGGTTTAGTGACCTTCACGGAGGCGCAGTAGAGCGTCGCGCGGCACTTTAAAGTGTCAGTGGAAACGTGTGGGAGAATAGGGACGGCTCGTTGAGTGACTCCTTAAGTTTCCCACTACCCAAGACGAGCTGCGCCATCTCACAGCGTTTGTCGTAAATGCAAGTGAATCTTCGACACACATGTTTCATGGCAATGCGGCGCCGTTTGATCGTTCAAACGCCTCTCTTTTTTCAACGTTGCTTTAATTACCGCAAGTATTTGGAAAATTCACCACTTTGTTTTTTTAATTAAAATGACGGCATTAAAAATATGTTGCTAGGGAACTACTATATTTCAACGATACAAAAGAAATATTTTTCCGTGAAACGCATTGGTAAATGTTTTATCTGAAGTAAATAGATTCAATAAAAATACTGTCATATCAGCATCAGACTTTATGGCGTCTCTTTTGTAAAGTTTTTTTACCTGGATGTTTTCGAAAAAAAAAAAAAAAAACTTTTTTCGCAACTTATTTTAATCCTGCGAGCATAAATTTCAACATGTCCACTATTAGAGTTAAATGTGAACCTAATGAATGGACACAAAACACAACAGTCTCGAATATCTTCACTGATTACCGTGCTTTGTATAGGTTATTTGTACCTGATTGCGTCCAAAATCTTCTAGACTGTTAAACCACGACGCTCTCCTACCCTTTTCGGTTGTTATTTTGCAATCAAAGAAAAAAAAATTGCATATATTTTCTAAGCTTTTTTATTCTTTTGTTATGTCTCTCTTAATTGTTTTTTTTTTGTTTTTGTTCTTTTTTATTTTTAAGTACATTGATTTATGACCAAATATAAAGAGAATCAAAAGGTAATTACAAATACCAACAGAAAAATCAAAAAAAAAAAAAAAAAAAACATTGCGAAACAAACATTAAATGCCTTCCCTGCCAAACAACATACGAAACCAAACCAGCCCTAGCGTTCGAACAGTCCCGGAAAATTTCTTGTATTCGTGTTAAAATAAACATAAAAGATTAAAAATAAAAACGAAACAAAATAGAAAAGCAAATAATAGAAATAATTTGGCATGTGATGTAGAGGTTTTGGCAGGCGCTACCTTGAAAAACGAAGCATAAAAAACCTTGGCATTTTCGGCACCAGAAATCCAACTGCCAAACCACCCTTATCTGTAATCGATGAGAATTGTTTTTCTTTCTTGTATTTTTGAACAGTGAGAAAACCTGCGTGCCGTTAAGAATGCGCGTGTGGTCGCTTTCCTTTCCACTTAGGAGTGTATGTTCAAACCAACTGAGAAAAGTAACATCTGTTCAAAAAGAAGAACGGATCGACCAACGCATTACGTCCCCACCACAACTAGATTTCCGCTGAGTAAGGAAGGAACACTCGAGCTAAGCACGTTTTTACTACCACACAAGAATCTTCTCGCATGGTTTTGAGCGCGTGCCCTTGTTTACAAATGCAGCTGTTTATTCATCTGAAAGAAAATGCATAAAAGTAAATTAATGTATAAATTAGAGTGTTATCAATAGCTCAAGCAGCGCAGTGTTGGCCAACCATTGTCCAATTGCTGGAAATGATCCTTTGGCCAGTGGCCTAAGAGTAGCTATTCATCGGCCAATGCTTGGCCGATGGCTGATGACTAGTGGACATTAGCTAATGGCCAGAGAAAGGCCAATCATAAGCCAATGGGTGGCTACTGTCTGGCCACTGGCCAAAGGACCATATCCAGCAATTGGACAATGGTTGGCCAACACTGCTGCTTGGGAGGGTCCCGCTTTTTTAAGTTGTGGCGTTTTTCGTCAAAATATGGGCGTGTTTTTTCGGTATTTAATATTTTTTTTTCAAAATTTTGGGTTTTCGCTGTCAATTTTTGGCCCCGGACAAACAAAAATGGCGTTTATTTAAGCTTATTTTGACGAAAACAAGACACGGTCATAGAATTTTTAGACCTTTTGGGAAGCGTGCAATATCGAAAAGTAAAGAAACTAAACAATGAGTGTTGTTCTAAAAAAAAAAAAAAAGAAAGTTCGCGGACAATTTATTAAAGGGGCACTCAAGTGGATTCTGAGATCGTCTATTTATTGTCATAACGCAATCCACGGACTCTAAGCATCCTAAAAATCCTAAAATTACATTCAAGGGCGGCCGATTTCCCTATTAAAAATCCAATCAAAGATCGGTGTTCTGCGCCTAGGCGCACGCCGTCAGGGGCGCTGTCGGACGGGAAGGCAGCAGGGAAGGGCGTGCGCCAGCCAATCACGAGTCCCGGCGGACTGATTTTGAAATGCGCGCGTATTCGGCGGACTGATTTTGAAATGTGCGAGTATTCGGCGGACTGATTTGTTCGAACGTGCGCGTATTGGACGGACTCATTTTAAAACATTTATCGAATGTGGTGTCGTCGTATGGAAATTCTTCGGCGGACGGCAGATATCAGGTTCACCCCGTGCGACGCCGCTCCTACGCGCGACGCCGACGCCTCGAACGCGCCGCAAACGTAGACGACGGCATTCCACGGCGCTGCGAAGCCAGCGAAGCGTCTTCGGCATCGACACCGGACTCCGGACTCAAAAGAGAAGAACGCACTCGGCGACGGAACTCCGCGGCTCCGCAACACGGACTGATAGGTGATACGCTTTTTATTGTAAAACTCGCATGTATGATTGATGCCGGTTTTTTGTTTTAAGGTGCCAGTGCGGTTGCTGCATGCCGATGGAGATCGTCGTCAGGTTGTCTGCCGCCGGGTGTACACTGCCGCCGTACGCAAGCAGCAGGGCCGGCGCGCTGCGTGACGAACCACTTGGATTTCGACTCGCTGTGCCCCAGCCGGGGTGTGCTATGACTAGCTTTCCATAATAGACGCCACTATGGGCAGAAGAAAATGCGGGGCGACAAGGAACAAGTGAGTACGACTTGCCGATCGTGAAACTTGCGATCGGCGTCGACAGCGTTCCAATCATCGGCGCCCGTTTTTCTTGCCCCACGTCCGCACGGAAAACCTTTCAATAGAAAACACTTAGCGATCAATTGCTTTTTTTAATGTTCGCTTCACGTGTTGGTTTATTGTTTTTTGTTTTGTTTGCCTTGCGTTTTCGTTTTCTTGCCCATGCCTCCCAAGCTGCGAGCCGCGGATGAGGACCCCTCCAGCGACACGGAGTCGGAGTTGGGCTCCGGTCCGTCTTCGGTTGAGATCCTGGCCCTCAATGACCCTGCAGTGACCGTATGTCTACCGCCCTCGAGTTGGTGATGGAGCATTTAGCAGCCGTCACGGGCGGGACCGGCGGCCAGCGGCAGTGCGAGCCAGAGGAGCTCGACGACCGCAAGTTCGTCGCCGACTTCGTGGCGGTGCTGGGCGTATACGCAAGAGCGTCGAGCGCCTCGGACGCGTAGCGCCTCGGATGCCTACGTGCTGAAGCGGATCTTCCCCTTGCCTTGCCGGCGAGCGCGAGACGATGGTGGGTGTTGCAGATTCTAATTGACTGCACCTCGACCGAAAAGGGCTATACGCACGACGCGAAACGTTTTGGTTCTCGTATAAAACTAACTGTCAAAACAAGATTTCCGAAGCTGTAAAGTAGCATAGAGAGGAGGCTATGCATAGGGGTAACGCGTCTGCCTCGTACGCAGCAGACCAGGTAAACCCAGAGCAGTATAAAAGGCTCTGGGTAAACCTTGCAGGTTTACCTTTTTTTTTTTTTCGAACATTGTTTTGTTGAGGCATTTAGCAATATTTACATTTTTATGATTAACAGTGAAAAGAATGAATGTTTTCGACGAAACTTCGCTCAACTAAATGGTATGGCCTTCCCTTTCCAGAGGTGCATGGGGAACAGCAGAGCTTTGGTTTTCGGCTGGACGACGCAAAGGGGGGGGGGGGGGAGGGGTTGGGCCAATTGGCTAATACTGTATTCACTCGAGTAATAGCCGCACTATATATGAACAAGGCCCTCCCGTCTACTTTCCCACAGAACACATATACAGCCAATCATTGCGTTGCGCATAAATAACATAGCGAATAACCAGATCGAGAACACGATTCTCCATACAAGTGCAATCTTCACAGATGGTACCTTCACACGAAAACATTATCTCTGTCCTGGAAACAGCTGTAATCATGCCTTCGATCGCCATGATTGGCAACCTGCCTGCTCCGCGGAAAAGCGAACCCTCAGGTTTTCTTCATAAACAGTACGGCTATTACTCGAGTAAATACGGTAGTTTCGTAATTAGCAGCCGCATACTGTCGCAGCGAAGCGACGTGAACGCAGGCGGGGGGTTAACGAGCTCCTAGTGATACACGCTCTGTCCAGCGTGAGCTCTCTGCGTCGTGCGTACAGCAACTTCCGGTCAAGGTGCACAATGTCATGCACATGGCCTTATACCCGTGCCACACGGGCAACTCGAATGCCATTTACAACGGATGACATTTGAACGATCGGCCAATCAGCATGCGACACTCCGAGCGTGGGGCATTCCACCCGCGACAGATTGCGAGCCGATTCATCAATCACACGAATGTCATTCGCTGTAAATGGCAATCGAGTTGCCCGTGTGGCACGGGTATTAGTCATTCTATTTCCAACTTTTGAGGCGTTCCGCCGCAGCTTCCGAGAGGAGTTCCTGGCGCTGGGGTACGAGTCCCGAGTCCGGTGGGAAATCGAGTGTCGTACACAGAACCCAGAAGAAGGCCTTGTGGAGCATATTCGGGTCATGCAGGAACTGCTCAACCGAGCAGTGCAAGCTGCTCTCAAGTCGCAGAGGGTTACTGGCATTGTTCGTCAGCCACCCCTGTTACAACATGTGTCTTCATGGGTCCAAATATGACACCATTGAAGACCTCGTGTAGGAAACCATCGCGGCTTGCGTGGACTACAGGCCTCCAGCCCCCAGCTGCAGAAGCCTCCGAGCCGTCCTGTGCGTGGGTACCCCCCACATGCGTCAACCGAGAACGAGCAACTACGACTCGACACCTTCCTAAAAGGGTCTGTGCCAACCTCGCCTACTTGCCCCTCGACCTGAACCCCCTTGACTGTCGTCGGGAGGTCCAATGTTTTTACAACAAAATGGGTCGTCAAGAGCCTAAATTCCTAATCCAGGGAAGCCCCAGGCAGCTGGAATTGCTCCCCCTACCCCCAAAAGCCCGCACCAGAGCGAAATTCTGCCGCAGATGCTGCAGACCTTCTCAAGCGGCTGGCTGCAGTTTCCCTACGGCGAAGGCCGGCTGCCTAACCGTGTTCGAGATCATTGAACGGCCAACAAATGCCCAAGCTTGGGCCAAGGGGTGGCTGGCAATGAGGGAATGAACTAGTGGAGTTGAGAGGCAGCGGCCAGTGTTTGAGAGACTGGTATAACATGGGAAATAGAGCGGCAGAAGACCGTTGGCGGCCCAGTTCCTGCTAGAACTACGGACAGCGTGGCCATTCTCGCAGCCAATGCCTGCACTGGTGGTGCCGGGGCCAGAGGAACCAGGGAAACCAACAGGGCTTGCGACGCTGAACTTGGAGATCTCGCTGCCGCCGGCCCAAGCTGGCAGCAGCGAGTTCCAGCCTCAGGATGAGCGAGTCGCCAGCACTTCTCTCGTCTGTGTCGCATACGACCTACATATCAGTACATCGAGCCTTACATGACACTTTGTCTACTTGCTGTTCCCTTTGCCGCCCTTCTTGATAATGGAGCAGAAAGTTTGTTTATTGGAGACTTTTTTGAGCTGTGCAAAACAAAAAAAGAATCGCTTTGTTCCTAAAATACACTTCTGCAGTGCGCTGCAATGCTCGGCATTCTGTTCGACGAAGAGGCACGCTAGCATTTTCTTTAACTGCCAGGATTGAACATGCCAATTACCTTTTGGTGTAGATTTTATTGCAGGCGAAAAACTTTTGCTCGACTTTGATGTTGGCGGCTATTGGCCGGATGGACGTTCAGCTGGATGTTACCCCTTTCACGAGGCGAGAGGATTGCATTACCGGCGCAGCTCTCCCGGCTCTCTGTACAACAAGGCTTGCTGCAGCCTTTCCTGCCGGTGTCTAAGACACCCTGTAGGTGGGTCCAGGAAACAAAAGTAGCAGCTAGAGAGTATGTTGCAGCCATTTCCACCAAAGTACTACACGGGAGTTGCGGGTAAGACTGATGTGCTGCTGCATCGAATCGAGACTGGCGACGCTCGACCAACTGCGGTGCAACCCAAAGCCCCTCATCGTCCATGTACGAGCTCTCCTGAATGCAGCACTACAGGAGTGGATCGACACCGGAGCTGTTTGCAACTCCCAGAGTCGTTGGGCTTCTCCCGTCGCAGCCCCAACGCTGTAACGGCGAGAGATTCATACCAGTTTCCCTTGATCGACTCAATCATGTACGCGATCGACAACACAAAAATGTTCACAATGCTTGACTGCAGTCTAGGATAATCGAGATAGACCCAGAGGAGGTTTCGACAACCGCTTTCACCTGTCACAGGGGAGTGTTCGAGCCTTTCAAATTTGCCGGATACCTTTCAACATCGAATGGACATTGGTGTCGATGATGCAAAGAGCAAGTCTGTGATGGCGTACATGAAGGGCGTCATTTTCCCCAATCTTTCAAGAAATACCGCGAACATTTTAGGATTGCCCGCGAGCAAATGCAATATGCCAACTTGACAGTTCACCCTGAAAAGAAAATGAACCTTCTTGGCTTTGCTGTTAACTCGAGTTTTTCACCCCAATCGGGACAAGATACGCGCGATAACCGATTGCCCGCAGCCGCAAGACGTCAAGAGCCTGCAATGCTTTCTAGAATTGATTGGATGTTATTGCCAACTCGTCCCACACAGCTCCAAGATAACTAAACCTTTGTATTTGCTTTTGTGCAAAAGAGAAGATTGGCATTGGAGACAAAAGCAACAAGACGCTTTCCCTCGGCTCTCGAGGGGAATCATTGACTTTGCTTCGTTAGTTTCCGGGTCTTTTTAACCCGTTCGTTGATCAAACTGCTGCCAGCGACTCTGGCCTTGGTGCTGTCCTGCTTCAGGAACACAACGGTGTTCTTTGGCCAGTTACCTTCACCAGCCGCATGCCGACAGCGGCCAAACACTACTATTATGCAATGGAAAAAAAGTGTCTCGCCATTATTTTTGCCCTAAAAAAATTTAACATGTATTTCAATGGCACATACTTTCAAATCCAGACCAATCAAGTGTTCTCCTGGCCGAATGATTTGCGGAATCCAGTCGGATGTCTTGCACAATGAGCTCCGACATTGCAGGCATACCACTAAGCCACTACATAAAAGAAGGGAGTTTTGTTGCGGCAGACGTAATCTCGTATGGTCCTTTGCAGGTCCTTCCCACTCAGGACGAAGATGCATTGGTGCGAATAACTGGCATTGTGGCCGACTGATGTTGGGGAGCTCCGTCTACAGGTGTGCGAGAAGCTTGCAGAACAAAGGGTAGGCCGCACCTAGAGCAACGATTGGTACGACTCATATTTGCTGAGAGAGAATGGACTTCTTCTCAGCTACATTTTTCAAGCAGACGATGCCGCCCATGGCTCACCTTTCAGGATTGTGAAACTTCGAACGCCGTTCATCAGTCACTTCCATGATTCAGCCTCATCAGGCCACAGCAGCAGCAGTATTACTTGCAATAAGTTACGTCATGTCGAGACTTGATCAGGAATCATTCAGGATATACGAAGTATGCCCACACTTGCCCAGGATGTCAGAAGTCCAAGCCACACGAAGGTCTCCTACCAGGATTTATGCAACCAATCGTAAACCACTCGCCTTGGCAGATTGTTTCCTGCGACTTGTAATGGGATTATTTCCTCATAATCCGTACAGTAATCAGTATCTTCCTGTCGTGACTGATCACTTCACGAAATTGGTTGAATTGTTCCCTTTACAGAAGCTTCTTTCGCAAAAAATCTGGTATCGCCTTCTTGCCGTCCTTACCAGATTACGCTTTCTTACAGAGCTCATGGTGGATCATATTTCCGGAGCAAGGTTGTCTCGACATTTGTGCTGTGCTTGGCATACAGTACAAGCTCACTTCTCTGCAGTGTTTATAGTTTGTTGTGAAGACTAGCTGTTCGTTGGCAGATGCATCACATGCACAGCGAAAGGGAACATAAAAGCAGCATAATATATTATTAATTTCCCAGGGAAACGAACACAAGACGTGTACACTTGAGAGTATAGAGTATTGCTTCTTATAATCTGATCTGATCAGTGTGGCCATTGCTTCAGTTTATGTGGTTAATTAAAGTGGTGTTTTTTTCTTACATTCAGTCAATGGATATTGTTTCAGGTGCTTCTGGTACGCTGCCTATAGGCAGTGGATGCTATGGTTGTGACTGCAACTGGGGCAGAGCAACAGGCGACCACTTGCCTCCTGCATTGTGAAAACAATGGGGGACTGACCGCCAGCGACACATTTTCCGGGCTCCTGTGCCCTGATTGTGCGACTGAATAAAAGTGTTTTTCTTATACTGGGTATAGAACCATGTTTTTCTCACCACAAAAGTAAACATTGCATCGTCCAACGGTCGGTCTTCACACAAATGTATTGTTAGCCGTGAGAACCAAGTGACAACTTACTATTGCCCACTTCAAAGTTGTAATCGATTTGCATAACTTCTCACCAAGAACACTCGGGGTTTTGTTGGCTGCCATCTTCGTGGCGCTTCTGTGCAAATATTTCCATACTCCGTTTCACCTTACAACTGACTGCAGCAAACGCTATGAGCTATTGGAGCCAATGGGCAATAAGTAAAATAGCAGTGCCCCTAGCGGTTCAGGTGCACTCTGGGAGCAGGAGACTGTCAATAAGTAGTTTTGGTTTCACCGGGTTGTGAATCTGTCGTCTGCTATCATCTCCACATTGCCATTATGTCGTCGTGGATTGCTCCACACTTGTGAACGAAGTACTAAGTGCCCTTTTCTTCTTGTTGCTACAAATCTGACACAGCAAATAATGAAACAATTTATTTTGCTGGCACGGGTTTTGAGCGAGAACATTCCAACGGCGAACTGAAGTGAACGTAGAGCGACATACACCGAATGCCGTGCCAGCTCGCTGCGTGCATTTGTTTGCCGCCTCGAAAACATCCACTGAGACATTTTATAGCACTTGCTTCGCCAATCGATATTTCCAATTGGGCTAACACAATACATGACGAAGCTAGCTGTATGAGAACGTTCAAGCACAAACTTTCGCCCTTTGCTATGTTGCTGTGTGAAAATTGGCCGCGGAAACAAGGGTGTTATAGAAACAAAGTACTAGTCTCAGTGGCTGTTCTCAAGGTTGCAAACCAATGCACGCGGTAAGCTGGCACGGCATTCGATCTGCATTCACTTGACTTCACCGTTATGGTGTTTTTGCTCGTCCCCCGTGTCAGAAAAAATCCTAATTGTTTCGTTATTCACTGCGATTGATATGTAGCAACGAGAAAAAAAGGGTACTTACTGCATTGTGCGCAAGTGTGGAGCATCCACAACAACATGAGCAATTGTATAGGCGGCAATTACTGGCAATTTTACAGTGACTTTTTGCAGAAGTGGTGTGACACCAAGGTTGGGTAGTAGCGATCACAGCACTATGTAGCCCCTAAGAGCAGAACAACGCAACCCTTTGAATCCGGGTGTTTTACTGACAACATAACCGACAGAGCAGCTCGCCGCAAGTCACGTGGTACTGTTTATTAAAACATAAACTCCGAGTTCACACTTTTCGATACTAGTCTGTTGTGAGGTTCGCAGAGCCACATTGGCTGGGAAGGCTCATACACTACGCTGTTTAGGAACAAGGTTTGTTTTTGCTCCTTCAAGGCACATACGAGTTACCCAGTAAATGAATAACTGACATTCCTTTCAGTGGTTGAAATCAAACCTTTTTGCCAAGGCACAAAAGAGAATGGTGGGGACATAGGCAAATGCTGAGTGCGCATGTCTTGGCATCTGCAACAGTTACTCTTGTAGATGCCGTGCGTAAATGCACTTCCAGCATGCTTCTTGGTGCTTGGCAAAAGTTCTACTCTCCGAACAAACCTCTGCATAATCATTCGGCTTTGGCTAAAACTATTTTCATTTGTTTCCTCAAAGGTTAGCAAGGCATGAACCACTGAATTATCGAGAGGAGACAATGTTGCAGATGGGAGGGGAAACCGTAGTGTAGACTGGAAAATATGTTTAGCTCTGTAAGTCTGAATGGCATCGAACTTGTGCTAAATGTTTGTGCTGTCATGCAGAGTTGCCTGGGTTTGGTTTATACAGTTCCAGTCTACCTCCTCGATGAAAGCCCCATTTATTAAAGACCAACAGGAGAGCTGCTTTGCCAAGGTGTAGCCTCTTCAGGATGTCTGTGGCAGCACATGAAAAGAAAAGTCAATGCAGTATTACGTGCGAGGGACATAAAAAAATATGCGGAGAGCATGTATTTCAATACTCGTCTGTGGCGCATCGGAACACAAGGAGGGGCACACAAGCAACGGATAGCATAAAAGGCATGAGGAACACACGATGACGAAGCAAGCAAGCAAGCACTGTCACTGGGCAAAATTAAAGCGGGCACAAGCATGTGGACGCATGCGGAGGGAGGGTAAGCAAATGCACAAGGCGTGCAAAGATCAGACAAACTTCTAAGTTCTAGGCGCACATACGCATAGCTTACCTCTCGAAACCTTTGGCAGGGTTGGATGGAGAGTATGTCGCCTCAGAGTCTGGCGTGCTGCTGGGAGCAGGAAATATGCAGTTGTATGGCACCTCGCTGCTGCAGTAGGGGACGGCAGAGTCGAAAGTATCCAACGGTACTGGCTCCTCCACGACCAGGGAGATTCATCTCGACAGTGCAGTCCCTCAGGATCCTTTCTGCCTTGCAGGATGCAGCAGTCCAGCTGCTGAGACTAGTACCTGCAAATAGCACGTTTATACTACAATGTTTTTCACAATGCCTGGTTTCTAACACTTAGAAGAATGGAGAGTCGGGCGATTTGGTGGGAATTCATCGTAGGGAACAGCAAAAACAGACGAGGACGTTAAAGAACCGCACGGGACGAGCGCTGCGCTCGTCCCGTGTGGCTCGCGCACTGGCCGTTCAATGCGCGAGCCACTCCTGGGAACCCGCACGACAAGCACAGGCACAGGCACATTCGCTCGTTTCGCCGCGCTTTGGCTGCGCATACAGGCTCTAAGCTCTCGAACGAAGCGTGTTCTCAGTTATGAAGCTCGAACCGGCAGGCCGGGATTGCTTACGAGATGTGGCAGCTGTTTGAGAAAACAGCCGTGCCATTCTGATCCAAGCAAATAAACTGCACCGCAGAAACGACAACAATGAGTGTGCAGGCGAGCTGGTAGATGCTGAGCATGTTCAAAATTACCCGAGTCTGTGGTAAAAGGGAGAAAACCTAGGTCCTAGAAGAAAAAATAAAAATAAAAATCGTGGAGTTCTTAGGCTTAGGTGGACATCGGCTCCATTCCGGTATGGGCAACATAGCCTTTTGTGACCCTGTACGCGTGGGTAATCCTCCCACACTGAGTAAAAATAAAGTATTAGTATACTTTTGATTCAGGTAACGTCATGCTCGCAAACTTTCGCATTCTGTCGCCATCACTAGTGTCTCAGCGACATTCAGCTTTCTACGATGCGTAGCTTATTTACGCGGATAGAAAAACACGGTTCTCTTCTACAAAACACCCTTCGAATACGTATGTCACGCAGACTGCTGCACAATGCGACGTTGAAACTCACAAAAATCACCAAACACTTACCAGGACTTTTTCGCGGGTCCCTCGCTCGGTCCCGTCGGCGACGGGAAGCAGAAGCGTCGGTACAGCAGACTACGGTCACCGCTGGCGAACGCCTCGAAGGTGTCCGCACGGAAACGAGGAATGTGGAGGAGGTCCTCGGCGGTCGTTTTCTTGCCCGGTGCAACGTAACCATTCGCGTCCTCGCGAACCTTGCTTCGAGAACGGGATGAAGTGGGAGCATAGGGAAGAAACCCTGCAGACGACGGAGCGACGCAGCCGCGTGGCCGCGTCGCCGCGCGGACACATCACTCCCGCGTAACAAGGCAAGGAGAAAACATAGTTCGCTCGTTTTCAATCAATAATAGCTGCATTACGTCACCTACACCCTACGATTTGACGTGGTTGTCAAAAGATAATGTGCATGTGTCTAAAAAGAGCAATATTAGTAACTTTCGGAATCTCCACGAAATTGACAATTTTTATTGGTTGAATTTTATGGCGGTGGTGGGGACACAGGATGGACTCCCCAAGAGGAAATAGTGCCTGCGTATTTCTTTTGCTGCGAGTTTATTTCGGCGTCTTGCCGTCTATGACTGGTCATTTTCATTGACTGAAGCCCAACAAACAATATGCTTTCAAAAACAAACTTCTCCAAAAAGCACTTGAGTGCCCCTTTAAGTGCTGTTGTACAGATCAACAGCATACAAAGATGCAAACACATTCCGTCTGGAATGTCTTTTTTTTTTTTTCAATAAGTTTTAATTTTTTTTTTCTGGTAAACTTCCATTTTTATTAAACGGCAACGCTGCACAAAATCGTAGCGCCATATGTTAAGAAACCGAATTTTGCGGTCGATTTAATGAGCCTGGACGCTATTTCAGCCACCCGATATTCTCACACATTATAATGATTTAACCGTAAAACAAGCGTAAGTATAATACGAATTTTTAAAAAAATA